ATTTAATACTTCTTGAGAATGCCTTCATATTAATACAGCATATGACTTTGCTGTTCTTGATAAATAGATTTTTTAAAAACATTTTCTTCCTATATATCACTTCATAATAATTTGAATTTGATTCCCCATTGTTTCCCTCCCTACCCCAAAGGGCCATGATTTTAATAAATTTAAATCTTCAATACATGAGGATGCTTAGATGTCAATATAACTAAACATAGCTTTTCTGTTGTTGGGATTTTTCCCTTTATTTTTCTATGTAAAACTTTGATCCACCAATGTGGCCCCCCCCTATCCTTGGGGGTTATGATTTGAACAACTTAATTCTACCCTACCCGAAAATGCTTCCATATAAATACTAGTATCACTAATCATCGTTTTGCTATTCTTGAGAAGAAGATTTTTTAAATATATTTTTATGTAAAACTATATTTTTATCACTAATCATGGCTTTGTAGTACTTGAGAAGACGATTTTAAAAGATTTCCCTATCTAGTCCTATGTAAAACTTTGATCAGCCATTTTGGCCCCTTCCTATCCCTGGGGGTCATGATTTGAAAAAACTTGAATCTACACTACCTGAGGATGATTTCACATGAGTTTCATCTTTCCTGGCCCAGTGGTTCTTGAGAAGAAGATTTTTAAAGATTTTCCCTATATACACCTATGTAAAACTTTGATCGGCCTTTGTGGCCCCACCCTACCCCCGCGGGTCATGATTTGAACAAATTTGAATCTACACTACCTGAGGATGCTTCCACATGAGTTTCATCTTTCTTGGTCAAGTGGTTCTTGAGAAGAAGATTTTTTAAAAATGCCATTAATTTTTCACTAATTCATAATTATGTAACGTGCAAGGGAGGTCACTGCCTGTGAACCCCCGCAGGCTCGTACCCGTGATAAAAACGGATAGCCTTGAGATGCTGCAAATATGTACAATGCGCAGTCTTAATCACTTGGTACTGCGTTATATAAGGTCTTTACTGGTAGCGAACAAGTGACACTGGCAGGGAAGTCCACACACCAGCGCACTTCCACAAGAGACAAGCAGGGATGACCGCACACTTGCCCTTGCGCAGTGACAAGCAGGGATGACCACACACTTGACACTAATACGGTTCTAGTCTAGAGACACTGGCAGGGATGTCCGCACACCAATGCTCTACCACAAGATGAAGGCAGGGATGTCCACACACCTTATCTTGCGCAGCAACAAGCAGGGATGTCCGCACACTTGCTACTTTAAGATGCCAATCACAGAGCAGGGATGACCACACACTCTGTCAAGTAATAAGCAGGGATGACCACACACTTACTACTTAAAACAGTACAATATAAGCAGGGAAGTCCGCACACTTATATGTACACACACAGGTTTGTCAAGTTTTACCTCTAGAACCGACCTCGCAATCCTCGCCAGTAAAAATCCTATATATCCTAACACCATCTAAAATACTTAGTGATTATTTATTTACAAAGTAATTAAAACACGAATCAAGCTTCCAATCAACCAATCTTTAGTAATCCAACTAGTGTAACATACAAAGATTATTATTGATAACTTTAATTCAAATTCAACACTAATTAAGTATTTATTTAAGCAAATATATAATTAGTTATTAAAATGACAAGGGCGATAACTTTCGCTATGATGAAAATATAGAAAACGGCTTTCCGTTTCATCACCCCCACCCCAGCTTTATGCGTCCTCGCATAAAAAAAACACAACTGCATTTTTAAGAATCGAACAAATGCTATTTACAAAAACAAATATCTACACTGTATTCCCCATTCTGCAAAATAAAATATGTATAAATATTCTACTCAACAGAATAGTAATAACAGTATCTCATTTACCATTGCGCAAAACAAAATGTTATATTTTGTTTAACCCAATGGTAAACAGAACCAATCAGGTTCACTTGCTGGCCCAGGTGCCTGTCATTTCTTTGAATTCCCTCTGCAAAGTCTCAAACTTTGCGCTTAATTCCTCAAGCATCGAGACAGTCTTTCCTTCAACGGATTCAACCGTAGTTGGGCGCGCATAGTTCTTTTTCTCAGCTCTGTTGTAAGCTTCTAATTCGACGGCCAATTGTATAGCGTCATTAAGATGTCTTGGACGCGCCTGTTTTATGCGGATGCGCATTTCCGAATCGAACAATGCGTCCACAAATTGGTCTTTAGACAGCGTTTCCCGAATCTCGGCTGACGCAGTTGGGTAGGCTAAGTTGGCAAGTCTGCAAATAGCCTGTCCTAACTCTGGAAGAGATTCTCCAGCTCTTTGGCGCCGCTCACGCATCTGCACCCTGTATAGCTCCGTTTGACTCTGGGTGCAAATCTGTCTTCAAGGGCTTTAACAAGTGTTTGATAATCGGGTTTTGTCCCCTTTGGCATGTTACCTAACACTCCCTGTGCACTTCCCCGAAGAGAAACTGCTAAATACAATCCTTTCTGATGATATTTCCATCCACTTATTTCTGCACATGCCTCAAAATGCGCATGATAATCCAACCAAGGACCACTGCCATTATACGTTGCTGGCTTTATCATTTGTCTTTGCGCTGGAAACTCTGCTAGCGCGTCGTCTCCGCTATGAGGACTTGCAAATCTAACTCTGGATCTCCTTCTTGTTATCCCAGGGAGAAGAGAATCGTCTTGATCGTCTCTGTAAAGTTCTTCAGGACGAAGTCTACGCCAATGTTTGTCGTTTTGCGCCGCTTCTCTATCGAATCTTGTAGGAGACTCTGAATGAGTGTAATCGCGAGGTCCCTCTCCGGCTTCTCTAAACATGTCCCTGAGAGATTGTCCTGTAGACTTTTCTTCAAGGATAGGTGCACGCTGGGCTAGCGAACCATCATGCTCATGCGTTAATGACTTTTCTTCTGTCTGCCGCAATTCTCCGGAGATGCGAGATTCGCCAACACCCGAGTCTCTTACTTTGTCTTTTAAACGCGGGGTCACTGGAGTCGACGACTTGAAACATCTATTCCTGATACTTTCCTCCTTCAGCTCCGCCAGCTTCTCTTCTATCAAAGTCAGTTCTTTGTCCACGTCTTCCATCGTTCAGCTATCTCAAGGTATCCCACCGCTGCCACCAAATTTTATGTAACGTGCAAGGGAGGTCACTGCCTGTGAACCCCCGCAGGCTCGTACCCGTGATAAAAACGGATAGCCTTGAGATGCTGCAAATATGTACAATGCGCAGTCTTAATCACTTGGTACTGCGTTATATAAGGTCTTTACTGGTAGCGAACAAGTGACACTGGCAGGGACGTCCACACACCAGCGCACTTCCACGAAGAGAAAAGCAGGGATGACCGCACACTTGTCCTTGCGCAGCGACAAGCAGGGATGACCACACACTTGACACTAATACGGTTCTAGTCTAGAGACACTGGCAGGGATGTCCGCACACCAATGCTCTACCACAAGATGAAGGCAGGGATGTCCACACACCTTATCTTGCTCAGCAACAAGCAGGGATGTCCGCACTCTTGCTACTTTAAGATGCCAATCACAGAGCAGGGATGACCACACACTCTGTCAAGTAATAAGCAGGGATGACCACACACTTACTACTTAAAACAGTACAATATAAGCAGGGAAGTCCGCACACTTATATGTACACACACAGGTTTGTCAAGTTTTACCTCTAGAACCGACCTCGCAATCCTCGCCAGTAAAAATCCTATATATCCTAACACCATCTAAAATACTTAGTGATTATTTATTTACAAAGTAATTAAAACACGAATCAAGCTTCCAATCAACCAATCTTTAGTAATCCAACTAGTGTAACATACAAAGATTATTATTGATAACTTTAATTCAAATTCAACACTAATTAAGTATTTATTTAAGCAAATATATAATTAGTTATTAAAATGACAAGGGCGATAACTTTCGCTATGATGAAAATATAGAAAACGGCTTTCCGTTTCAATTATTTCTCCTTGGAAGTGGGCGTGGCCCTTCATTTGAATAAACTTGAATCCCCTTCACCTAAGGATACTTTGTGGCAAGTTTGGTTGAAATTGGTCCATTGGTTCTTGAGAAGAAGATGAAAATGTGAAAAGTTTACAACGACGACGACAACAGACAATGGACAAATTTTGATCAGAAAAGCTCACTTAAGCCTTCGGCTCAGGTGAGCTAAAAAGGAGGTCACTGTGATCTATTTTTTAGTCAATATAATATGACGTCCTTATGTATCAACTGACAAGATTTGATGTTCCTAGTCCTTTTAGTGGGCAATACATAATTAATTATCGTTGAAGTTATGAGGATATACTGTAAATCACTTTTTATTCGCGATAACTTTATTTTCGCATAATTACGCGAGACAATGTGCTCGCGAAAATTTAGTTCTCGCGTAAAATAGTTGTCCTTAAGGTTATATAAAGCAGTAACCACAATTCGCGAAAGTTTTGTCTCGCTTATCAAGAGTCAATGACTGTCTCGCGAAAATAAGGTGTCGAGAAAATTTAGTGATCTACAGTATCTTTCAAAAAATATGGTTCAATGATTATATTTACATTTTTAAACTCCTTGCCATGACTTCAAATATGATTTATAATTCAAAGTTCCTGTTTTCTCCTTTGGGTAAATTACAAATGATGGAAGAGCCATTGCAACAACTTCTGTTCAATGTTAGCATAAATTTTGGTTTTTTTTGCTTATGACGTTGCACTTTCACAGTGTTCAAGGTTTGTGACATCAAAATAAAAGCATTCTTTAACCTTCTGACCCCTTTTCCGTGTTATGGTGTTTTTAATGCAATAAATTTCCCCACACTTTATGAGCAAAATACATATGGAATGTAAATATTATAGTTTAAAAATACATCTTTTAGGTTAACATTCAAACCCTCCCCTATCCCCATCATGAATCGAAGAATTATTTTTTAAAGGATTGAAATCATTAAAAATAATTAATAGTCTGTAATAAAACTGCCACTGACCTTCCATGTATTCATAATACATGAACTCGTAATACAGGGAAAAAATAAAATCACTTTATTACTAATTATATTAGTGTGATGCATACATATGTGAAACTGTATGAATTTACAAAAGACAGAAATAACAAGTTTAAACAAATAATACTGTATACAGGGAAATTTTCGCCCCCATTTTATTTTCGTCCCTTTTGCCCTCTTCTTGATTGGGCGAATTTAAAATGGGGCGAATTCAAATTACACAGCATACTTTCTTAAAAAGAACTATGACTGGGCGAATTTAAAACGGAGCAAAATTGTTTGCAAGTCCAAAAGGACGAAAATAACACGAGGCGAAAATAACACGAGGCGAAAATAACCCTGTATACAGTACTTCTTTAATTTAATACTAAAAGGAAAAATATTCTGAACATAAGTTTTTGATTCTGACTTTGTAAAGAATATTGTTATCATAACAACATGTAAAATCTAAAATCAATCCACAAATTTTTTTCTAAGTACGTGTATCAGTTGTTTCTCATAACAACAGTTCATTACAAAATGATTCTCACTTTAACAGAATGATAGATTAAGCGTCCTTCATCTGACAGTCAAAAATGTCCCGAAGTAGCTGCATACTCTCTCCATATCTCATCTCATTGATTCGGCCTTGGTCTATCCAACTAAAAAATGAAACAGGGATAAACTGTCATTTTCTCCAAAAAAGATGAAACATGTAATTCGGGAATTTGTGTATCCTGATTGAGAAAAATAGAAAAGTGTAGAATCTCCTTAAAAAAATGCGGATTGAGAGAGATAAAATAAGGCAGACTTGACCATCAGCTTTTTAGCACAGAAGGCAATAGGGATTTTTTTAAATAAAGAAATTTGTGATCCTATTTGGTGCAAAAGCTTACAAAAAAATTAAGATTTGAGAAAATTAAGAGTTTCTGAATTTTGTTTGGTAAGAATATAGCATTAAATTTATTTTGCTTGACATTTTTCTGGTTTTTTTTTTTTTTGTCTAAATAACAAACAGTGCGTATAAATTGCTCTCAATTTACTGTCAAAGTAATGCCCTGTTCACACGACGAGTTTAATTCGCAGTAAATTAATGCGAAGTAAACTAATGCGAATCAAATTTATGCGAATTAAATTGCGTTCACACGACAGCTAATGAGAAGTAAACTAATGCGAATTAAATTTTTTCTTCTACAGTCAGGCGTCAGTAAGTCTATTATGACGACATTTGTAAATCACGTCATGTATGCAGAGCCATCCTTTGACACATCATGTAGCGGCTACAGGTATTCATTGATTTTAGTGATTAACATACTTTCCTTCAATTTTTGAACCAAATATAGCACAAATACCTATATATAACCACCAACACGTGTCCTCTGACTTAATTCTGGCCTTACTCATGCGTCAAAATTTAATTCGAATTAGCTTCACTTAGCGTTCACACGGAGCTAATGCGAAGTAATTTAATGCGCAGTAAATTAATTCGAATTAAACTAATTCGCATTAAATTCTCCGTGTGAATGCTAAGCCAAGCTAATTCGCAGTAACTTAACGTTTAATTCGAATTAAACTCTCCGTGTGAACAGGGCATAAAATTACTATATGTAACAGTATAATTTTCATTCCTACTCACCTCTGTCTGACCTGTTTCCACCTCTCCATGTGTTTTAGGAGGAGACTTTCTGCCGGGGGAGCATCATCTGCGTCCTTGTAATAAACATACAACAATAAGATTTAAACAAGATAATCTAAGATGTTATTTAACCAGTCTTGTATTAAACGTAGAATAATAAGTATTAAACAAAATTAAACAAGATGTGTTTGTGAAATACTATGCGCCCGGCGGCAAAAAGTTCGAAAAAAGCTATTTTTAGTATATAGGTCACAGTCAACGTCACAAGCTCACTGACCTTGGTATTATTTAAAAGAACTTGATTAGTGGAGTATGCATACCAAATATGAAGTCTCTATCTCTCATGGTTCAAAAGTTATGATGAAGGTTCAAAAAAGCTATTTTTAGCATATAGGTCACAGTTAAGGTCAAAAGGTCATCGACCTTTGTGTCATTTGAAAAAGCTTAATAAGTGGAGTATGCATACCAAATATGAAGTCTCTGTCTCTTATGGTTCAAAAGTTATGGTGAAGGTTAAAGTTTGAAGACAAAAAAGCTATTTTTAGCATATAGGTCACAGTCAAGGTCACAACGTCATTGACCTTGGTGTAATTTGAAAGGACTTTATTAATGGATTATGCATACCAAAGAACTTCATTCGGTAATAACCAATATTTGCCCCCCAAATCAAACTTTGATGGAGATATATTTAATTAATTTCTTAAACAGGGGAGTAAATGCTGACTTCAAAGCACTGAATATTTTCATAAGTAATGACGTCATATGTACGTATTGACGTCAAAAACATGACGTAAATTTCAGTTTTTTATGAATTTTACAGAAAAATGTACATATTTCGTCGATATTTTAAGTAAAAGTCACCGAGCGCATGTGTGTTCAGGATCAATATTTTGATATAATGTGTAGAATGATAATATCAATGAAATATGTCAATATTGTTCCTGAACAAACTTGCGCTCTATAAAATTTAAAGCTAAAATTGTTGAAATTTTGTCCATTTTGTCCTCTTTCTGAAAAAGGATATAAAATCGGACTAGTTTGTGACGTCATGAAAACAAAATTTGTGAATACACTGTTTTGAAACTATAATATTTTCTGTTAATTTATATTTCTCATATAATTTATTGAATTCAGCACATTTCAGGAAGTTTTCAAAATTTGACTTTTGTGGGGGCAAATATATGCAATATACCGCATATAGTTCTTTGAAATCTCTATCTTTCATGGTTCAAAAGTTGTGGCGAAGGTTAAAGTTTGCAGACAAACAGACAGACAGACAGGACAAAAGCAATATACACCCCCGATCTATCGATCTGGGCACATAAAAATAAAATTCATTTGGTTTTTCTAAACATTCCGTTTTTTTGATTTAATATTTGTTGCATCATGTCCTTTTTTGTGGGCAGAGGAAAAATGACTTACATCAATCTATTGAAAACAAACAAGCATTCTCCATACTTCAAGCTTCAGTGCAGTTCTCTATTTCAAGAGATGGTTTGACAAGAATTCACCTTAACTTACCAATGTAAAAAAAATATGTCTTAGTTTGGGGCACAGGGTGGGATATTTTACCTTTACTTACCGATATAAAGAAATAGGTCTAAGGTTGGGGCACAGGGTGGTTTTTTCCCCCTTCACTTACCAATATAAAGAAATGTCTTTAATAGGTTGGGGCACAGGTTGGTTTTTTCCCCCCTTCACTTACCAATATAAAGAAATGTCTTTAATAGGTTGGGGCATAGGGTGGGGGTTTTTTTCCCTTCACTTACCAATATAAAGAAATGTCTTTAATAGGTTGGGGCACAGGGTGGTTTTTTTTCCCCTTCACTTACATATATAAAAAAATGTCTTAGGTTCGGGCACAGGGTGGGTTTTTTCCCCTTCACTTACGGATATAAAGAAATGTCTTAGGTTCAGGCACAGGGTGGGGGATTTCACCTTCGCTTATCGATACAAAGAAAAACCTAAGCTGAGGCAGAGTGGCATATTTCACCCTAACTTACCGATATAAAGAAAAACATCTTAGGCTGGGGCACAAGGTGGGATATTTCACTGATAATTACAAATGCGTCTTAATTGGTACAGAGTAAGATATTTTACCTTTACTTACCGATATAAAGAAAAATGTCTTAGGTTGAGGCACGGGGTGGGGAATCCTGTAGTCAGTATGGTCATCAGGATCCTGTTTTATTGGGGGTGGCATTTTGTAAATATCTGGAATTCGTTCAGTCTGCAAAAAAAAAAACAAGTACAATTTTAAGTCATGCTTTTTTTTAAATTTAACATAAATAATCTTCCAAGTAACATCAACAGGGTATTGAGGTGAAATATAAATTATAAGTTGGTTTTATACTGTAACTTGAGCAACTGCAGATAATTTTCCTAACTTTAAACTTTTGACTTAAAAATCAAAATTAAACATTTTTTTTTTTTGCTGTCAGATATACTGAAGCTTCAAATCAGCATGACAAAAGAGATATAAATCAAAAATATCAATTCATTTTTTCTGATTGATCCAGATTAAAGGCCAATACTGTATATTTCTAAATATATGAAAAGAATTAATTATTGAGTAATTTCATGAAAAGCACATCTCACTAAATATAAATTCTCAGTTTTAATTTTAAATAGTGAAAATCACTTATTTACTTAGTCTTTATCAACAGACCATATGCAAAGTAATTTCTTGCATTTTGAAATTTTCATTCATATTACTAATTGAGTATTCTCTGTAAATGAGTGATCTACAATAGTTAAATAATGCTTGAAAATGGATCTGCTCAAATAACTTTATTCTGATCACTTATTCAGAAAAGAAGGTCAAACACAGCATCCAAAGCAAGTCTGGTAGTTTGCATCCCAATATGTATCATCCATGCAAATTCTCTCTCAAGTACATCTTTTGGGAACTTGTGAATGGACCTGCTCCAAAAACTTTAACCTTGTCAATCAATGACACTCTTTCAGAAAATGTCTATCATATACGACAAGTAATTTGAAATGGAAAATGTTACTTTGAAATTTCTAGATTCCTCAATAGAAAAGGCTTACGGTTAGACTGAAAAAAAAAATGCCCCAAACTTTGGAATACATCATGTACATGTAATTGTAACCTTTACTTCAGAATCTGTGATTGAGAAAAAGAGAATAGTTGATACCTCCTCTTCACTGGCAGGTGCTGACTCGGGCTCTGGGGAGGGGGAGTGAGGGGGGGGCTCTCTACTGTGTGGGTTGTTTTTCAGCCAAGCGCGACAAATTGGGTAGAGTGGAGAATCTTCATCAAAGACCGCTAAGTCCACACTGCGATCAAACAGCTTCATAATGTATGTGTCTGTCAACAAAATGTTCAGACTAATTTAGACATTCTTGACTCGGTAGATTATTCTGCAATTTTTATATTACAATGTTTTGTTGAAATGATTTGCATACAGGTATTTCTCATGTGTTTGACTATTATACATCTGCTTTAACAACATTTTGTATTTTTGTTTGTGTGTTTTTATAACCTTAAGTTATATTACCTATAATCCATAATTGGGTAGTAATTATTTATACATCAATACTTACGCTGGTATTGTCCGGGCTCGTAATCAGAATCGTCCTTTGCTCGCTTTCTTTTTCTCCCTCTAGTGGTAGACGCACGCTTACTTGGAGACTGCATTGGAGATGGCTCACTAAACATAGAAAAAGTCCTCAAACATTAAAACATTGCAGTCCAAATCAATATTCCCTTCTTTTCAATACACATTAACATTACAATCATAGTGGAATGCTTATTATATATACTGTAAACCAACTTTTATTCACGTGCGAGAAATTTTCGCGAAGTTCGCGAGAGCCTTGTCATCCCGAATATTTCTTGCCGCGAACCAGTCCTTAAAGTGCATGTGTCTAAAATTAATAGATCCAAAAAGGCCTGATCGCAAAAATTAATCATCGCAAACTAGTTTATCCCTAGTAAATCGCGAAATAAAGTCGTCGCAAATAAAAGTTGGTTTACAGTAGTCCAACAACTTTCATACCTGAGACAAATATCAATTTCACCGCCTTCATCACTAGATTCTTGCCTGTAAATAAGATCAAAATGAACATTAGAATATCCTGTCTTAGCAAGTATCAATATATATTCATTTCTCTGATTATGAAAATTGTTATGATGAACGTGTACACTGTTAGACAACTTATATTTACATATATATGTACCTTTAGAGATTTATGAAAGAATTCTTTTTTAAAATGTTCAAATAAAAACCAAACTTAATCAAATTAAGAAAGTACAATCATAAAGAAAAGTATTTCCTGCATAGAAAGCTGACTTTATGATTTCAACTTAAAATTTCAAAACTTTACATTTTGTATATATTTTACTCCAATCTAGATCAAGGTCCTTGACTACTATAAGCAAACTTTCTATGAGTTCAACTTTACTCTGAGTTTCATCAAAAATGTGAAAAAGATTTTTACATTTACAATAGTTAAATTTATAAAATATACTAATTTGGAAAGAGAACCTTATTATAATTATAAACATGATAAAATTGTAATATATATATAACAACACAGGCCATTTAATTTTAAAGGCTAAACAAAAACAATATTTGACATATTTTGAGCACTTCTATTCAATCTGGCATATCACTGCTGCTGAAGAAGGCATAACATTTTTGTATATTGTTTTTTTTCTATAACAGTGATTTTATCTGGTGTATGAATTTAATGGTGTTGATCTTCATTTCCTGACTAGACGTATGCTTAATTATCTCTGAATTCTACTCATTTTCACTTACCCCTCATCTCTTTTGTCCACTAAAAGTTGTAATGTGGCATCAAATCTATTTCTTGCTGAGACAACTTCAGCCAAGTCTGCAATATAAAGAATCATGTCATTAATTAAAGCAATACACTTCTTGTAACGTGTAACAAACTGGTAGTCTGTTTTCCAAATTTTGTAATTTCCTTCAGGCGCAGCACTGTTAAGGCTTACTATGAGAAATCAACAGAAAACAGAAGTGCAAAAATGGACATTGTTTTTAAAATTGAATTCATTATCATTCAGCTGTTTTATTATCACAGAACTTAAATATTTATGGAAATAGCATAATATAACCAATAACCTACTCTGTACTGTATGAATTTTGGTTCCATCAATGGACAGTAATGTGATGAATGCATAGTTCGTGTACTGAATGTAGGTCATTAACAAATTTCAATATTGCAAGGGCATACCCTATTTGAAATTAAAAATTCAAGCTATTAATTGTTTCTGTATACTTTGTTTTTCCTGGAAAGTGCTGCTGCTTTGAACATGTTGAATAGAATTCGTGTTTTAATAGTTAAAATTTCAAGTAAATAGGCCTATGTCGAAAAATGGTTGACTTTTACCAAATATTTTGTGTACTTTTAAATTCACGCTCTCGATTTAAAGAAAGCAGCAGCACTTTTCAAGTTAAGGAAAATATCCTTTATTAATATTCAAAACATCGTTAAGATTTATTTAGTGTATGCCCTTGCAAAAGAACAATTTTATGAGGCACCTTGATGTAAAATATACCTAACCCGAACATAAATACACGTACAAAATTATTTAAATACATTCTCTTGATAGTTAATGAATAATCGCACTAAAAAAAGGATATGCATTGGTATTAATGGCCTATTTAAAACCTGTAAATAACATTTTGTTTTATTCTGAAATGCATTTTTCATTGTTAAAATATTCCTCAATCTGCTTCTCACAGCACATGAAATACGTCATTTTTACCAAAATGACGTCATGATTGACAAGTTCATCGAGATCAGTGATTTGTTTCTAACCAACAGTATGGGATTTAACTAGCAACTTTTTCTAATGCATTGATAAGTTTTATTGTTGTTTATTATGCTAAAACAGTATAAAGTTGCAAATTATTTCATTTTCTGGTATTATGAGGAATACATAAAAGTCATAATATTGTGTGACGTCACAGTAAACTTTTCCCGTATAAACAATGCTACGGGCTTGATAAATATTGTACTCTCAGGTACCTAAATCATCAAACTGACCCAAAAACAGCAATAATTGTATAACAGTCTGCTAAGGTTATAACAACCAATTTGGAATATTCTATCTCATTTGGATGATTGTTTTAAACCTGTTAAACAGATCCCATAGGCCATATCAAATTTAAGCTAAAATGTTCTATCTGTGTGACATTGTTTGTTTGAATATCAGAAATAACCCCAATATTGAGCAATTTTATCCAAGATCACTGAGTGCTAGAAATAAACAGTAACTAGCTTGAAGTCCCTCACCAAAATAAGACTCCAACTTGTACACAAAAAAGGATAACTGCATTAAATCATGTGAAACCTACATTGTGTAAGTTTTCCCCTAAATAGAATGTTCTATCGTGAAAATGATATTGTCCTACGGACCCGGTTTAACGATAGAATTCGTTCCGTGTATTCGTAATGTAGCAGAAAGAAACACGGGCGATTAAACTAGTGCATTTACTAGGAACAATCTAGAGAGTTCCGAATGTAAACATGGCAGGTAATTTGAATCGAGAGAAAAACGTTGAGAAAATTAATTGGATTTTCGTATTTATATGGATTATTTTTTATTTTAAAAGGCATAAGCAATCTCAAAAAGGTTTGTTTTGATTATTTTGGTAGTTATTCCCAGTGCAAATCATTTTATATTCTTCTCAAAATCGTTTCGGAGCGGATCCGCTCCGATTTGCTACATTGCAAGTATATGGGACGTATTCTAACTGTGGTGAGGGCCTGTACCGAGACACAGATTATTCTAACTAGTTTTCCCCAACAGGAAATTTCCTCTAAATATCATATTTTCCCCTTTTCGATGAGTAAAAAATTCCTCTTACAATAACTAAAAGCTCAAATAATTTATTTCTCTGAAAAACTTAAAATTTATAGTAAAATTTCGGAAAGAAACTAATATACATATGCTTTACTTTGCTATTTTGAACACTCGAGAATGGTCATAAAAATCATGTACAAAATCTTTAAATTGAAGCACCAGCAGGGCTAATCCTGAAATTTTTAATCGCCGATGGATGGAATTTATTTCTTCATTTTCACAACTTCTCAAGAAACAATATTCCCCCAAAACCTATATTAACCCCTGGGGTGATTAGTTACAACATTTTATTATAAAATAATATTGTTATCAAGACTTAATGTTACTTTTTGAATCCCGTTCATTAACCTCAAAACTTATATGTTAAATGACTTACTCTTTTTTTTCTTTGACATAGAAATTTTCTGTAAATTTACATAAACTCCTAAAATTACAATTATATTTAATATAAATCTTGTTAAATTTTAATTTAAAGTTATTGATATAATAAAACATATAAATTTTCCGCCATATTTGAAACTCAATGAAGCATCTGAGAAAAAAATTATGAATACGCAGCTTGTGATTGGCTGATAGGAGTGAAGTATAACACTTCAGCAACATACAAATCTATTTACACAATAGAGACCCAAAAGGAACCCAAAAGGACATTTTTTCTGTTTTCACTGCATTTTTCTCCGGCAGTGCTATCAGTTTTTACAAAAGGAGCTGGGCAACTAAGAGAAGGAAATTACGTGCCTGATGTTTAGGTACTAGTGATTCAAAAGGTATAATTTTTGAAAATAAGCAATCAATTATTTAATATATACATGTAAAATGATTAATCTTTGATACACAACACAAAACAGTGAGATTTATATAATAAGGCATTTTTATAAAGAACTGAAGCGGACATGAAAGATGAAATTAATTAAGTACAGATTATACTAAAGAAGATCATTCATTTATGTAAATATAAGCTCATTTCTTTATTTATCAAATATTATATAAATTTCCAGATATGTAAACAATTTCAGAACGACTGCATAAATAAGCCCTGGTTAAAATAATACAGTGCACTTTGTTAAAATTTATAGTAAAAAGAAACTCTTAAATATGGCTTTACTTTGCTATTTTGAACCGAGATTCATAAAAATGATTGAAATGTGTTATAAAAGTCATATGTTATTTCTGTGGGAAAAGTTGCAACAATATAAATGTATGTTTTTGCCAATTTTTAGGTAAATTTATAATATAATATTGATAATTTAATTCAAATTATTAATTTTCAATGTATTATAACTTCATTTATACTTACTCTTTTGATTTCCTTTGACATAGACATTTTCTGTAAATTTACATAAACTCCTAAAATTACAATTATATTTAATATAAATCTTGTTAAATTTTAATTTAAAGTTATTTAAATAAAACAAATAAATTTTCCGCCATATTTGACTCAATGCCGAAAAATTATGATACGCAGCTTGTGATTGGCTGATTTTATTTTGTTAACTCGTTCCTCAAAGGATTCATAAAAAGATTTGTCAAGTTTGAATTAAAAAAAAAATCCATGAAATAATTGTTTTGGGTTTTAGTTATAATAACAGTAGAAAACTATTTTAGCTAGCCAAAAGACAAAATAAATAAAACATTCATTATTCATTTTCAAAACTCACTATGGAATATTCCAAGTACACCTTAGTTTGTATTTACAAAAAGGCAGATCATCTGTTATGTCACAAAATATGTGAAATGTGAGATGTGAAAGAACAATATTGAGATGTTTGTCTCATTACTGAGATAATACTTAAAAGGGAACACAGCTGTGACATTTAAACTGGTGAGTTAACATGCTGTACGCTGTATGAAATATTCAAAGGTTCTTGTTCCACATTGAATACCGACCTTCCCTGTTTAGTTCTTTTTCTTTCCACCCCCACTTCAAACTCATATTTTATCAATAAATAAATCATTTACCTATATTTTTTTGTTTATTTTGAGAAACTTCTAGTGAAATCCTTCCAGACATTTTCTTTATTGTAAATCTGCATTTCTTAAATGTGCTACGAAATATTGTCTTACACAGGTCAAAACACTTAAAAAGGAATAACTTTTGGTTGACAAGTTTTCCTGTATGCCCATTGTTTAGGAGATTGATCCCTCGAAGTTCCTTAACTTCTTGGGGATCAATCTTACAAACTGCAGGGTTGCAATAAAACTTGCTTACCAAAAGTTATTTCTTTTTAAGTGTTTTGATGCGGATTTATGATATTTATTGCCAAAATAAAAATTTTCAATTTTTGCACTGTAATTTTATAGCCCATTTGGGATATTATATCCCAAACAGACTATTATATCCCATTTGGGCGATTGGTCCCAACCTGTTACAGGTCCAGTCCAAAGACTATTTCTACCTACGTAGCTATTAATAGCTACCAACCTACCAAAAGTAACTATTTTTACCTATTTTCTGCTTAACTTGCATTTTGTGGCCAAAAGACCAAAGGGCGCAGTATGATAAATACCCTATTTCTTGATACAGTCACACTGAATGATGATGAATACTAGAAAAGTTTGACGAAAAAATGATTACTTCCTGAATCTGCAATTTTACATTAGTTTCTATGCAAAATTGATAATATACGAAGTAATCATTTTTGGCCAAATATTTGTCATATCCATCATCAAAGTGACTGTATCAAGAAATTTGGAGCTCACCATGTTGCGCCGTTCTTGCGTTTAGCCACAAAATGCAAGTACAGCAGAAAGTAGGTAAAAATAACTAGGATGGGTAGGTTTAAATATTACCTACAAAGCTATTAATAGCTACGTAGGTAGAAATAGTCTTTGGACTGGACCTGTCTTATTAACACATCATTTTCAGTGTGAGTGATGTCTGATGAATCCAAGGAGGAAAAGGTAGATCCTCCCGAGCCAGCCCAGAAGGAGAATCATGAGACTCGGTTATATCAGGATATCAAATCCACTCAGTGGCCCATCATCTACTCCCCAGAGTACAACATCGGATTCCTAGGACTGGAAAAACTCCATCCCTTCGATGCAGGAAAATGGGGGAAGGTATACAACTTCCTAAAAGGTATATATGTTACATGTTTCAGAGGCATGCTTTATGCAAACATCTATTGTTACATGTTTTTATGTATTGGTACTATCATAGATGAGAACAACAGAAAGATTCTGTCTTCTTCAAAGTAATTTAATGTATTAATACAATTCCTCGTGATGTGATACACAGATGCTGAGATGATCCGAGATGATACGACAGTACGAGCCATTGAAGCAACAGAGAGGGATTTACTGGTAGTCCACACCAAGGGTTACATCAACAACTTAAAAGTAGGTAGAGGAGCAATTAAATACTCATCTCAAAAAACATCTGTTGATTCAGAAAATAAATTAACATTTAACATAATCAAGATCAATTTCATGAATATTGAGATTAATTTAATTTTTCATCATGCAGCAGAAAAAAAATTCCTTGTTACTGAATTCCAAAACCTGAAGAATATTGTATGCAGCAGTTGGCTTTAAGTAAACATAAATATTTAACAATAACAATATAAAGTCCTGTGGTTATTTCTGGCAGCTTTCTTCCATTATTGAGGGAGCAGATGAGGTAATTAGTGTCACTCATTCAATCTTTGTCTTGTCAAAAGATGATCTGGAGCTAAGTTATCTCCCTTAAAAAGCATTGTGAAGGGAAAAAGACAATTTCTTTTGCAGAAAATGGAGAAATGCTTACATAATAATGAAAGACATGCATAAATACAATAAATGCACAGGCACCTGACGTTACTTATTTCCCTTTTAATAAAAAAAAAATATACCCCTACTTAATAATAAACAAGGTCCCCATCAGCGCCATCTTGAATTTTTGTAGATCAGTCAAATCAACTTGTATTTTCATCTAAAACTCTGTGAAATAAATTCCCCAGAACCATATTCTTTCTGTGGTCAGTCTTTCGAAGTCTCAACTTAAGGACAGTGCAACCTGTTACCAGTGACTGACCTAGAAAAATTCAAGATGGCGCCAATGTACACCTTGTTTATTATTAGGTAGGGGTATATTTTTGAAAAAAAACGTAATGTCAGGTGCCTGTGAATAAATATACAACAAAATCTGCACTTTGTTGATTTTTTTAATTGAGGCACTGCATTTCACAGTATTTACTGCACAACATGATCAGAGTTGAATAATGATGTTTCTACCAACATAATCAAATACAGAAAAATTACATCACTTGCTTAAAATACAGTGAAAAATTTTGTGCACTTGTCTAATACATTTTTTTTTTTTTTTCAAATTTGATAAAACAAAAGTCTGTTTAATAAAAGAGCATCATTCATTGTGAATGTAACAAAATCATTTTTTTTCATAATCTGAGTGTATGCCCCCCGTATGGTGTATTATTGTTGGTCTTTCATTTTTTGTCAGCTTGAACAATGACCAATTCATTGAATTCAACAATTTTAGCTACAGAAGCTAAATTAAGTCAAATAGAAATACATGTACGAGGGTTGTCCCGTAAAATCGTGGACAAGTTGTCTAGTGTGAAAAATAAACATCACTGCGTTCTGAAATTTAAAATATTATTTTAGTACATATTTTAGTAATATACACAGCAAATTTCAGATAAATATATGCATAAATAAACAAATTATGAGATTTTATGCCATGTATTGTATCATTTTTTTCTTACGGCGCATGGATTATATACGTGAAAGTGTAATATAAACAGCGTCAAGTTTTATCTTTGCTGAAAATGAAGCTGGATTGAGTCCGACTTAAATTTAGGAATTTCATTGAAACACATTCTTTATTAATCCATAAATTCAGTTGATAGGAACCATACAGGCACTTTTTCCTTTAGAATTTTAACACATACGATGAAATTTCATTAAGATTTATTAGTAAGTTTCAATTTGTGACAATATTACAGTTACACCATTCAACAAACTTCACCAGAAAATTTTTTATGGTTGCGGTCTACTGTGACAAAGCGTCTTTTGCTATTAACATTTGTTGTACATGTATTTGTAAATGTAAATGTTTTGTCCTTCAAAGATTCCCACATAGTCAAAACACAAGTTTTCTGGGAAAAAGAAATCGCTAAGAAAACTCCTATTTCATTATATATATTAAGATATGGTGATATTTTTTTAATCTTTTTTTGACAAAATTGTCTTTTTCAACTAATAATTTCTAATCCCAAAAAAAATATATTACAACATCACTGTATATTCTTTATTGTACGTGAGTATTTGCTCTCAACAGGTGCGAGAGTCGAAATCGGGTATAAAACGAAATCGCGTATTTTTCGTGTGTTGTGTTTACCACTTTCCCATTATCAAATGCTGCCAGAACTGTTACTTGCCAAAAATTAACAAATATGCCTTAAAATTTTTACAAACACTACAAAATTGATTGTATAATTTCTAAAAACAAATAATTTTATTTCCAAATCTTATGTATTTAAAACTTTTATTTTGCAATTCACAAACTTGTGAAATTCTTAAAGAAATTAAACGAAACGCCTGGGTTTTTTGAAAAATATATGCGTCCCGTAGTGAAATATAAACTACCCCGTGCACATTAGAGAGCTGTATAATAAAATCTTTATTTTTGCCATTATATATTTTATCAAAAAAATTATCATGCACTTAAATATGATGAATAAACAATTACTGAAATTTTCAGCTTAGTGCGCCCATTACTTTTTGAGAAAAACGCGTTGTCCACGATTTTACGGGACATCCCTCGTACATGTAACTGTAATATCTTAATAAAAAAAAAAATGTTTTTTTGAATCTTTCATTTTTTCATTTAAAAAAAAATAATTTGTAGAAAACTATGCTTGCATTATTATTTAAAATTTTAATTGGTTTGTACTTATATGCATGTAAATATGAGCATCAAATTTTCAAATATTGCACTTATTAAGCAATGTAGAAATATTAAATTTTGTGATTGTATGTCTATCAATTTTTTTCAAGCCAAGGGGGTTATTTTATCATCTTATATAATGAGAGTAAAGTAATATAAAGAAAACTTTAAGGATACTTTATGCATCTTTGAAGAAAAAGGGGTATTCCCATGTAAATTGATGTTATTGTAAACTTTACAATGTCAGAGGGTTTTATTGAAAAATGCAATGATTGTATAAATATTAATGCACAAACAATTCAGTTGATAGGTAACATGCATACAGATCATCTTTTTCTCTTTAGAATTTTAACACAGTAGAGTCGAACTGAAATTTCATTATGATTCTGTAATCAATAAGTTTCAATTTGTGAAACTTTCAAACGTACATATACAGTTACAGGTTCCAGTTAAATAACCTTTTTGAACACTTCACCAGAATTCTTCAATTTTTTCATCCTTGGTTGCTATAAAGAAACGTACTGTGTTACAAATTTCCAAGACTTGGATTAGATAGCTAGAACATTTGTTGTACATGTTATTTGTAAATGTAAAAGTTTTGTCCTTAGCAAAGATTGACCCACATAGTCAAAACACAAGTTTTCTGGGAAACAGGTAGAAATCTAAGGAACTCAAGGAGTCAATCTTCAGCAGAGCACTGTAATATTGTCAAGGAACTTATATATATTCAAGATGGTTCGTGGACTAATATTTGTTTAATCTTATTTATTGACAAAATTGACTAACTTTTTCAACTAATATTATTTCTAATCCAAAAAAAAATATATTAACTAGAAACAGATTACTGTATATTCTTTATTGTACGTGAGTATTTAATATCTCAAGATGGCTTTAAGATGTCAAATCGCCAGAACAATACTTTATGAGTGGTCATTTGATCAATTGTCAAGAGAATTTATGTGGATTTCAGCACCATAAAAATAATAGAGTAATTATTTTTACTGATGATTCTTGTGAAATAATGCATTGAATTCCTAGCGTACATTTAGGAATCTACAGTTACAAAGCCCTGTGAAGCACAGCTTTATTAACTTCTTTTAAGAGATCATTTCTCTGAAGTTTCTTCTCTTTGCAAACTTTTGGGATCAATCATTTTAGCTGAAGTGCCTTTCTCATTTTCATCACTTTCATGGTAAGATTGTATATAACATTAAAAAATAGTAAACAAAATTCCATATTTCATATTAAGAGGCAAAAAATGCACAGAACAAAAAACGAAAAAACAAAAAGACAGAAATCAGCTGTTATAAGGTTTTATGACACAAGCAACGTGACTAACTCTGCATAACATGTATATCTGACTGAGGCAGAATGTTAAAGTCAAAGAAGTTAATCTGTTTGGTAATATCTATTGTTTGCATGATTAAATCCTTGCATCTGTAAACTTTCATGCTAATTTATAGTACATGTACATGAAAATGTATATTTATCATTTCTGTCTCTTTAGTAAAAACTATATTTTGCATGTACAGTTGAACTTGAGTATCTCAAATACCATGCATGGATATGTCAAAGTGTCAATTGAAAGTCAATACCAATTATTATTTGAGATGTCGACCCTTGATATCGTGAATACTTAGATATCCCAAAGTTTACTCTCTGTCCCATTGAGTTCAAGAGAACGAGACTTGGTCGTATTATTTCAAGAATTATCCTTGTGTATTGAGGTAAATTGTCTTGGAAGCTTTTTCCTTTCTTTTGTACATTTGTAGTGCTCTTCATCAGTCAAACCTTATTACCTCAGGCTAAATAGGACGGAGAAAAAACTTCAAAGATATCTGAGGATTGAGATATCCAAGGTTAAAGTGGTTAGGACTACCAAATTACTTTGACATGAACATGTTATCAGTGTTTGAGTAACGACAGGTTAACTACATTAGTTTTAATAGTGGATACTGTTAGCACGGTTAGGAAAACAAAACTAAATTTTCTGAAATTTTAGTTTTCACAATAGGTTTGGTGCCTTTTTTTTTAGTAAAACCATGAAATAAATCTTTCAATTAATAACTAACATAAAAGTGAAATGTATCTGTTCTCTATTCTTTAATACAACACTGTTTCTCCTTTTCAAATCTTTTTAACTACATAATTCTGCTAATTCTACTAATGTTACTGTCAGAGTTCCCTTGAAAGATTGAATGAGTGGTCCAGCATCCCTCTTTTAGACTAAGGTGTATCCTCCCATTTTGAGGTGTCTACCATTTTGTTTTGTAGTGGAGTATCAATGTAGCGGCCATAACGGAGGTTCCCCCTGTTGCTTTCCTCCCTAACTTCATTGTCCAGAGGAAAGTCCTCCGACCCTTCAGGTATCAGACCGGGGGGACAATACTGGTAAGTCACCTGTTCAAACTCCATGGATTTCATACCATAATTTTATATTCAGTCACTCTGTAATGTATCTAAGAAGGGAATAAATTTTAGCTTCATAAATATATCAATGATGTTTACATTAAGAGGGCTGGGTGGTCATGGCCATTTTCAGACTATTGATCTCCTTTAGAAGAACTCCATATAATTGTATTCAAAAATAATCAAATTTTTAAATTAAAATTTATGAATTTTTTTCTTTGCCATATGATAGTTGATAGCTTAAGATATCGTATCTTAAAAATTAAGTTATATCTGATGGTTAATTTGTTGACCCCCAGCCTCCTTAATTTACTGTTTTCATTTGAAACAGAATGTACTGGATTTATATCTATCCCTCAGGCAGGAAAACTTGCCCAGGAGAGAGGATGGGCTATCAACATTGGGGGAGGATTTCACCACTGCTCGGCAGACCGTGGAGGGGGGTTCTGTGCCTACGCTGACATCACCCTGTCTATCAAGTTCATGTTTGACCGACTTGAGGGGATAGCTAAGATCCTTATTATAGATCTAGATGCTCATCAGGTAGATAGGACTGTCCAAATCTAGTATTTCTAGCTTTGGACAATAGGTGTAACGGAGAGTGGCAGAGTTAACCCCCTTTGTTCATTTTCCCTCAGTGTTCAACTTCAAGCATATATTGACTCAATTCATTGATCTTCCTGGGGTTGCAATGAATATTTTCTTTTTATGATAAAGTATAATATGCAGTGTGCAGTATCTTTTCTATAAATATAATTATAAACTGTAAAATTGCCGATCTCATTAATTTATGATTTTTTTTCCATCTTCAGGGAAATGGTCATGAGCGGGATTTCATGAATGATGAACGAGTTTACATAATGGATGTATATAACAGAGGAATCTACCCTCATGATGGCTTTGCAAAACGTAATGCTAATGTTAAACCCAATGCTAAATAAACTCCACAAAGTATAGAATTGTTGCATAAAAAATCTTAAGAAAAATAATGAAGATTCTAGAGAAATTACATGCATATAAATTACATGCATATTAAATTAATGTGTGAAATCAGGGATAATATGTGCACAGTTAGTATATGTACAATATATCATGTGTTTACAGGAGCTATAAAAAGGAAAGTGGAACTGTCTCACTTCACTGATGATACAACCTACCTAGCTCTTGTGGACAGGTGAGAATCTTCTTGTTTACCTTTATAGCTCAGCTGATACAAAGATTTAGATGAGATTCTATGATCAGAATCTGTGTGTTGCCTGTCGCCATTCAATTTGTCAGCTGAACAGCTGTCTGTGTTACAACATGTTGAAGATCTATTGTTTACCAATGTTTTACAATTCATAATAAAACACATATAGTGATCATAGTATAAAAGATAGTTTTTTCAATGTTAATATATGAGTTGCGTCAAGCGAAAAGGGACCTTCGTGACATAAACGTAATTACGTCACAATAGCGCTTTAAAGACATGACGTCGCGCCGGTGTGTTTGTCGATAAAAAAGATTCATACGATAAAGCAAAACAAAAATTTATTTACGTAATACATATGTTAAAAAATAGGCACGCCTGTAACTGTCCGAAAAAAAATATTGTACAATGTCGTCAATTTATAGATTTACTGGTTATTTTTCCCAAATGGAGTATCAACTAATTTAATTTTTGATAGTTCATGAATGGCCTTATTCATGAGAAGTAAAAAATGTTCATGAACAAATCCATGTACGTGTATACCCCAGTAAGCTCTGAAGAAAATCGCATCATTGGCATTTCTGGCTGAGCTCCAGACTCTACAGATAAGTGGTCTCCTGCATTTATTTCAATGTGTTTTTTTTTTCGTTTTTTTTTGGGGGGGGTTACATATTACATATATTCCAGATTGCATTTTGTCAATACATAGTAGGAAAAACACATGAATGCAGCAGCTAGGAAATTGTCTGTAGCAATGTCATAAAGGATGAAGTGACGGACGTCTGTATCTTCTCATCAACACCGTCACCTTTGGCGCAGCACTCTGAGGTTTGAAAACTGACGTAATGAAACGTGAAGATAATCAACAGTTGTCATTTTCAAAACGAATTTGAGGTCTTGTATTCATTGCCTAAATTTATTGAAATAAATTAAAATAAACACACTTGGGTTATGCATGCTAACTTCAAGTCGAAAATTAAGAGCGATGATCTAAAGTCGGACTATATGTACATTAGTCTTACCGGTATTTTCTGATTTGAAGTCTCCTAATTATGTTTAAGGCAAATACAGTAGTTCCAGACATTTTGAGCTTTTAATCTTGCATAGTATTGTTTAAATAAATGGTTTATTCCCCCCCCCCCACACACACACATTCAACACACCTTTTTTTTTGGATGTGCTTATGTTCGTTTTATATTAGCGGGGTACTACGAAAAGGGAAGCTTTTCAACGATTAATTTCGATTTTTTTTTTCGCTATTCTCTCACTTGATTTTTTTGTGTAATTAATTTTTTTTTGTTTCGATTGTGCTTGTTCACTTTCGTTTTTATGTATTAATTTACTATCAATTCCTTTTTCTTTATTTTGACCATAGACACTTTGAAAATACAATGGTACATGCACCACCACCACCCTCCTTTCCTAAAAAAAAACATCGCTCCTATATTTGACCAATTTATTAAGTGCGGATCATTGCTTTGTAATCCACATCATCAGTCAAGTGGTGATGAATTAATTTGTTTTTCAAACAGTATCTCAATGGTTCATTTTCTTGCTCATACACTGTAGATGTTTTTGCAGAGGATCACGAGAATTTCATATTTGTAAGCTGTGCAACCCCTTTGTTAATGTCGCCATAGACCTATCTCAATTTATACTGCGATTGTGAAATCAATGATTATTTACACTTGTGCATGTTGTGACCTCTTAATAATATCATCTGATGAATCCTTTTTTATCTCTGTAAAATAACGTACCTTTATAAAGCCCTTTCCCACAAATGAAGATGCTTTCTATATGTATCTGTTTACTGCATATGAATTTAAAAATATAATTTTTTTTCAATCAGGTATGAGAGAAATTTTGAAATTTCTATTTTAAGAATTACCTGCCCTGTCACAACCTAACTTTACGAATAAAAAGTTGATTAAAAAAAATTAGCTACGTTTTGTAAATAATATCCCATAATCATCATTAATTCGTGCACGTGACTTTAATTTTTTTTCTTTCTTTCTTTTTTTTGGGGGGGGGGGGGATGAGCTCCTCGAATGGCTTGTATATGTTTGAATGGAGTAAAGCAGAGTCAGCCGAGGATTGTCGAATGTACACATTATGCATAAAATAATGATGTCAGAGAATAAATTTAAAGAAATTTGTTCCGATGACAGTGTGTATACGTATATTTTATTGTTTGGATTTTCAGGGATGAGGCCCATGCATTTTAAACCATTTATTGTTCTCATTGATACAGCTGAATATGAATTAAACCGATTATTTACATGTACATGTATGTAACTGTGTATCAACTGTTTAGATTGTACAGTTAGAATGTCATCCGGTACCAGTGATTTGGTCAATAAAATATTGCATGAAGCAACGTACTAACACGTAATTTGGTGGCACAAAAGAAAAGCTTTACATACTTTAATTATATATTAATGATTTTTGTATACTCTAAAAGTATGAATTTAACGTCTGACTTTTAATTTGTCCGACTGATTGTTTTGCATCAAGTCTAGAAATATATACATTACTTGGGTATTTTTTATTGGTATTTTTAGTGCTGAACAAATTCAATTTCTTAATATTTTTAACATGAGAATAAAATACAACAGTTTCTCTTAACAAAATTGCACGACATACAATATTTATCTCTAGCAAAATTTAACCAATAGCAAGCACCGAAGTAACGTGTTTTAACTTTGTTCCAAGCACAACGTGCCGGGATCATTTTTGAAGACCTCCCCCCTCCCTGTTTCCCCATTGTACAAAAACGTTATTTCTTTAACTGATATATAATTAAGTCATAATTATTGATACAATACCGGTATATTTTATTTAATTTTAGTATCAAATGTGTGTACCGGTATATTTTATTTAATTTTAGCATCTTAAATCACTTTCATATAGGCAAGTTGCATCGTTAGAAGGGGGATAAAACAAACACGTTTAATCTTATTTGAATTTGGGGATATTCCACATTTCAATATAATTTTCAATTGAAATAAAATAAAAGGACATCGTTTTTGAAAGAAGTATGAAATAATTGATAAGTGAAAAATATAACAATGCCTGAAAGTTGCATACCACCCATCCTCTAAAAAACATTCAGGGAAGTACAACTATGTCATTTTCATAAAAAATACATGTAGGTACTGGCTAAGGGTTTTTTCTTTTGTTTTTTGTTTTTTTGTGGAGGTGGGTTTGCTGATTATAGCGAAAGGGAAATAACAATACTTTGACTGGGATTTATCCTTAAAGACCTTACCACATGAACATGATTATTCAATTTACTCCCTTGCAAGCAATTGTAAATGCTCAGTCATTTCTGTGAATAAACTGTTATTTCTCTCTTGGAAAATATCCGTGTTGTTACGAATGCCTTGCGAGATAACTTCAGAGTAGGAACTTGTTTGGTTTTGTATGGTCAGAGGTCTAACCCCTTGTAAAGGATCCTTTCAAATATCAATTTTTCAGAGATTAAAGCATGCTTATGTTCATGTTGTGAGATGGTGTCGTTGAATATATTCTTTGAAATGTACAACTTAGATGTACTTTATTATTTCGATATTGGCCTACATATAGATAATATTATGGGTTTTTTTTCATCAGCCTTATCGCTATTTTACAATGTATACGATCAAATAAATGCTAAAATTTGAGGAAATAGATATTGAAGAAACCTAATACATGTAGAAAAAATAATTTCTAACTAATACAAAAGAGTTATTTAGTAATGATAACGTTCCAAATATCAATAACGTTATGTGACGTTATTCAACGTTTTATAGCGTTATCTTGTTAAAATCGCATTGCTTTTATCTTGAGTTGTAATAAGAATTTAGAAGGTATATAATAAAAAATTTGGTATCAAAATATTCAGAAAAACTAGCTCTATCAGAATCAGTAAAAAAACTATTTTCGAAAATTTTGTCACAAAGGTCCCTTTTCGCTTGACACAACTCATATGAATAATTTATGGAGAGATTTTATACATATTATTAAATTAATTTTATATGAGCAGTCGTAATTATTGCAGGATAATTTACTCTTGACATGGATGATGTACAGTTGAACTTTGATATCTCGAACTCTGAAATCTCGAATACCATAGATATGTCAAAATGAATTGCAAGTCCCAACATCTGATTCTTGAATTATTTTACTCTGGGTATCTTGAATCCCCATTTATCTCGAAGTTTATGCTTGGTCTAAAACTAAATACAATCCAATTGAGTTTTTATGATAATGAGATTTGACTATATTTATTTTGGCAGTGTAGCAACAACTTTTTCTCCCTATATTAACAAACAAAGCCTGACTTTTCAGACACACTTCTGAGGCCTTAGAGGAGTTCCAGCCTGATGCTGTGATCTACAATGCAGGGACAGATATACTGGAAGGAGACCCCTTAGGGAACCTCTCAATTTCGGCTCAGGTTTGGAATGTTCTAATTTTTCTAATATATACACATTGCCTTATTTTATTCAATACATTACTGAAGTTCAAAAAAAGAACAGTTGTGAATTTCATCACTGCTTACAATGAGCTACTTTTTGTCTTGGTAAATTTTATTAAAAGATAAAAAGGTTACCTATAATAAATAGTATATTCCTATAAACTGTATCCCTGAAAATTAAGCATGATATTTTTAGGGAATTATTGAAAGGGATAGACTTGTGTTCAGTCATGTACGAAGTCGAAATATTCCCATTTTTATGGTGACTAGTGGAGGATATCAACGAAGCACTGCACGGATCATTGCAGACTCCATCCTTAATCTTAAACAGCTGGGACTAATCGGCTGCAAGGAGGCAGAAAATGCCCCAAAACCTCGTATGTAGCCATGTGTTTGGATATTTAAATGGCCTTCAATTTTTAAGAAATTATTAGTTTGTTGTTTTTTTAAACTACTTAAAGAGAAATATTTTCACATTTTTTTCTAAATGTAAATCCTATATATAAGTTTTATTTTAATTTCTTCCATTTTATTTGTAGTATTTGTTGTTATTTGTTGTGACTGTATGCTAAAGATAAAAAGCACAAACGAAAAAATTAAATGATGCATGAATTGATGTATGTTTTGTGAGAGATTTTGAATAGAAATGCCATAAATAGTAAATTCCTAGAATTTAAAGAAATTGTATGCTTCTATTGGTGCAACAACTTTGTGCCGTTTTACATGTACCTGTACACATTTTATGTCATTTCTATAAAATTGAAAATACTACAGTTATGTTTAATTGCATTATTCAGTTGATCTGTATTAAACTCATTTTTTTAAGTTTGTGTTTTTTATCGGTATGTTAGATTGAATTTTATTTTTAAAGCAAACATCTAAGAAACTTTAGATAACAGTAATAATATTGTATGATTAAGCTTGTACAAACATTTATCCCGGTAATTGCTTTTGTAGCTTTCTGTATTTACCAAAATTAATTTTGTGTTTCAGCAAAAAAGTTTTTTTAGTTATATCTAATGTCTACAGATCATAAAAATAAGGTAAAGTTGTTTTCAAGTGATTAATGATTCAAATGTTTTTGTGTACTCATACAATGTATTCTGCATGCATGATTTATATTAAGTTGTGTTTATATTGAGGGTAAGATTTTTATTTGACATGTAAACATTTCAATTCAATATCTTTAGCAGGTATATTTCATTTGGAAATCCCTGTTCTTAAAATTGTTTGCATTAAATGCTTTAAAGTTAAGTGGCCTAATTTCTTACATATACACCTGTACATGTATGTATTCTGAATGAAGAATTTGAATACTCTATTTCTTATTTTTGTTACAAAATTCTACAAAACTTTGACAAATTGAGAAATTACCCATCATTATAAAGTGTACAGAAATGTCTGGATTCCTATTTATCTTGAAAATGTGTCAGATCCAGATGTGGCTTTTTGCATGACAATTCGGTCAAGCTAAATGATCACAATATGTTTTTTTAATTGAAGTCCGAGTAGCATAAAATTGGTCTATGAAAAGGCAAAAACAGAAAACAAGTGATTTGTCGAATGATGCTACAAAATATTTATTACATATTGTGCTTTTAAGATCACCAAATGTCCACTACCCTGATATAACCTATAATACTATTGTTTCACCTTGACACAGATAAGTTACAATGCTTTTTGTTCCTTATGCTCCAGGGATAAGAATTCCTAGGAGTCAGAGTGAAGGATTCCTGGCCAGAATAAAAAGAAACTGTCAATCACAACCAGAGACCAATCCAATTGAAGCAAATTCAGGGGGATGCTCCTCATTGGCTGAAAGTTGAAGGAAGGATATGGATCTATGAACACACTGTGATATTAATTTTATTTTATCTTGATCTCATGTTTTAATATATGTTTTCTCATTGAAGAGCTATATCATTTTCAAAAATTGTAATGGTTATATTCTAGACAAGAGAACTTTTCATATGTTGTGAAATGTAAATTGCATATATGCTCCATGTGTCAGTGAATTTATGCCCAAAGACTTTTGTTTTTGTTTCCTGTTTTAACATGAACCATTCCACACCAGTGCTGAAAAACTCATACATTGATTTTGAAATGTTGATGTTGACAGATGTATTGTGCAATATTAAGTTTCCATGATCATATAGATTGTATGTTACACTAGTTTTTAAAGAAAGAATTATATTAAAAAGAGTCGATTAACAATGTTTGTTTGTTAGCCAGTTTGACCAATTGTTTTATTACAGTGTACATATTATAATTTCACTGCTTACATTGAATTTAATGTATATATATTTTAGGTCCATTATCTTATCAAAGTTCAGTGAAAATAAAAGCCTGGTACATGTACTACTTGGCACATACAGTATTAAAATAATATCACAGGGGGGAAATGTTATGTTTAAGTAATGTAAAAGTAAATGGTTATCTAGCATAAAAAAGAGTTTAGAATTAGAATTACAATCCAATACATGTATTATTATACTAGAGTTTCCTAATGTGACAGGTAAATGCCCAGCAAAACATATAAGCTCTAAAATGTATGTAAAGTGTGAAAAAGAAACAAGTATGGGATTGTGTTTGCCTATGTACGTGTAATATTTCATGCATGCTGAACAAAAGTTAATTACATATTGTACTCATAAGACACTATTCTGTTGCTAACCAAGAATTTATAATACCGGTAAATAAAATATATAAGGTCAAGTAAATTGTTTGCTTTTATACATATGTTTGTATAATAATGAATCATACCATATACAAACATATTACATCATTCAAGTGTTAAAATTAATAACCAATTGTTCAAAAGTTGTGGCTAAGGTGATTATTGTTAATAAATACAAAATTCTGAAAAATTGGGTCAAACGAAGGTCAGGAGGTCATAAAATTGTTGGCCCAGTGTATCCAAAGAAAAGTCTTGTCAAACCAATATACATATATGTGTGAAATATGGAAACCCTAGCTCTTAGCTACCAATCAAGTTATTTGTTAGGTTAAATTTTTTGCAAACAACCAGACACATAGCGGGACAGACAGATGGACAGACCAAAAGAATATATGCCCCCAAATATGAATAATGGAGGCATGAAACAAAATTATGGCTTGATAATCCTAAACTTCACAGTGTGATTTTGAGGATCTGTTCATTCACATCTTTTAACAGTTTTTAGCTCACCTAAGCCGAAGGCTCAAGTGAGCTTTTCCACTTTTTGTCCGTCATCCACCCGTCCGTCTATTAACTTTTCACATTTTTGACTTCTTCTCATAAACCATTAGGCCAATTTTAACCAAACTTGGTACAAAGCATCCTCAGGTGAAGGGGAGTTTTAATTGTTAAAATGAAGGGTCAAGACTCCTCACAAGGAGAGATAATCAAGAAAAGACAAAAATAGGGTAGGGTCAATAAAAAAATCTTCTTCTCAAGAACCACAGGGCCAGAAAAGCTGAAACTTATGTGGAAGCATCCTGGGGTAGTGTAGATTCTAAACTGTTCAAATCTTGACCCCTGGGGGGTGAGCGAGGCCACTGTAGGAAATCAAAGTTTTACATAGAAATATGTAGGAAAAAACTTGAAAAATCTTCTTCTCAAGAACCACCGGGGTGGGAGCATCCTGGGGTAGTATAGATTCTAAATTGTTCAAATCATGACCCCCGGGGGTTGGGCGGGGCCACAATAGGGAATCGAAGTTTTACATAGAAATATATAGGAAAAAACTTTTAAAATATTCTTCTCAAGAACCACTGGGCCAGAAAAGCTGAAACTTATTTGGAAGCATCCCGAGGTAGTGTAGATTCTAAATTGTTCAAATCATGACCACCAGAGGTTGGGCAGGGCCACAATAGGTTATCAAAGTTTTACATAAAAATATATAGGAAAAAAATTTAAAAAGTCTTCTTCTAAAGAACTACTGGGCCAGAAAAGCTGAAACTTATATGGAGCATCCAGGAGTAGTGTAGATTCTAAATTTTTAAAATTGTGACCCCCGTTGAAATCCCGTTACTCTGATCATACTTGACTATCAGTGAAGAATGAAACGCATTGTAAAATCACTAGTTTTCAGAGGGTCAAACATTCAAGGTTTGAGAAATTTTATGAGTTTGTGAAGGTTTAATTTTGTGATTGAACAAATTGTTGCATAATTGCATCATACATTTTGTGGTTAACATGAATTATTGAATCTTTTCATCATGAGCTCGTAAATAAATTAAAAAAAAAGAACCCTCCGTAAGACAATCAGCGATTTCATGGAATATACCAAAAAAGCATCAGCATTCATACTGGAAAAGTCAGGTACTTGTAAATATAGGACCGACTGATTGTTGCCCATGTCAGTTTCCATTTTAGATTGATTAATTGTATGTTGTTTAACATCCCTTGAGAATGTTCCACTCACATGGAAACGCCACAACTTGCCAGTGGAGAGCTGCAAATTTGTCCTGTACTCAGCACTTATGGCCTTTGAGCAGTGAGGGATCTTTTTTATGCCAGCATCTACTGCGACACGGGACCTCCGTTTATACGCTTTCCCTGTCCCACAGTGGGATTCGAATCCGCAACGTACGGATCAACTCCTTACTTTGCGAAACTAGAGCAGATCCTCTAACCACTGCACCATGGGTTGACATTAGAAAGGTAGACTTCTGACAAAAGCTAAAGATCCAACCTTACCGAGAAATTCTTCTACTATCCTTCTCTGGTGACTTTCAAAAGTATACTCGGAAAAGTCATTCAACTTCTTGCAGTTCGTTGAACATGTCCTTCAAACAAACTCAAATGCTTGAAATATACCATAATGCATGGATAGGCATTCATCAAATTATTGGAAAGAATCATTAAAAGTAAGACATGGTTTACTGTTTATTATTATTTTTCTCTCGAGATTTGTCAGCAAGTGTTTCAGACATGAATTTTGCTTCAAGGATAAAAAAAAGCTATGTTCTATTACAAGATATAAATGTACATACTGTTTGCAGTTCAACATGCAGTGTAAGTATTTTATGGTATCTTTGATACATCTAGTCACATGATCAGAAGACTTTACAAAAATATTAATGATTTAATCCATAACTTTTGTTGCCTTATATGAACTTTAATTACCATTGTAGTTTTCTTCCTCTTTTCTTTAAATTTTTGTGTTATGGGGTAGAGTAACTTTTTCTTGGAAACAAATGATACATAAAACTTCACAATGAGGTCCAATGGATATACATGTAATATGAACTCTCAGGTTGATACAAATGTGAATGTTGATAATGCTTGCATGGATGAATTCTAGTGAAACCTAAGTCCTACCAACAGAGGGACGTGCGTAATTAGCGATGATTTACATACATAATGCAATGAATGTAAAAATATGGTTAATCACTTAATGATTTAGACAATATTTAATCATGGACAAAATAATCTTATGACTTAACCAACAATAAATAATGGAACAGTTCTATGGGAGTACCAATAATTGCCACCAACACAGTGACAATGAAGATTCCATCATCATTGTATGTTGTAATATTATGTTTACACAGCTATCACTTTCAATCAACTGTATGAAATAAAAGAAACTTTAGAGTGCGGTTGAAAGATGGAATTCATTGCTCAAGAAATGGCCATCAAAGTTGAAGCATTCATTGGCAATAAGATATAGTAGCCAAAAGTAAAGCAAAAATGCTGCCCTTTTTTACTTCTCAACATTTCAGTAAAACTTGATGATTTCAATATATAACCAAGTTTATTGATAACCCATAAAGAAAATACATGTATGAAAACATAAAATAAAGCAGCAATCATTGGCACTCGCTCATAGAACTAGATTAAAAATTCCTCTAATGGCCCTAAGACAAACATTCCTCTAGTGTCTAGTGAGGGGCTTCATTCCCCTCCCCCTCCCTCTTTTTCCGTGGATCCGTTCACCACTACGGGAGCTCCACTAGAACCATTCACTGGCGTCTTCCCTTTCGTGGGCTCTTCTTCTGCTTCATCATCATCTTCTTCTGCTGCCTCTTCATCCTCACCATCTTCAATCACCTCAACACCATCATCTGAACAAATAAACAAAATTTATTTTTGAGGCTCTTATATATGCCTTAAGTATGCACTTTAAGTATGGTGGAATATATTTTGGTGGAAAATTTATGACCTTAGACATACTGTAGATAACCAAATTTTCGCGCCACCTTTTTTTTAGCAAGACATATCTCTTTTTTAGCAAGACATAATTTTCAAGAATCGTTGTTTTTCCTCTAAATAATCATAAGGAATACTTTTATATGGGAGAATGAAATTTTTGCGAGCTCATTGTCTCCCGGATTACATGAAAATAAAGTTCTTGCAGATAAAAAGTGTACAGTAGCATAAATAACACGTAATACCGCATTTAAAAAAATTTACAGGACTTTATTTGGGGTGTACATTAACTGTACAATGTTTGACAGAGATTGATTTTTCAGAAAATTAGTGCAGATTTGATTTAGCCTTTTCTAAATGTGCTTAAAATGAATACACATATACAAGCATAAAACTGTCAGCAGATCTGAAAATGCTTTCCATGAAAGGTGCTAAATTCATTAGGATGTGTTGACAATGATCTAGATTTAATCATTTAACTGGTGCCCTACCTTCATCATCTCCTCCCACAGAGTCTAGAGTCTCAAATTCTTCCTCATCATCTTCAACTTCATACACTTCTTCACCTACAAATCAATAGTTATACTGTTTTGACAATTCCAACAATAATTTCTTCATCAAAGGCTTTTAAAAAAAAAAAATTCCTCTCTTACCAAGATTTCTACAAATGAAAATGTTTCAGTAAAATATCCAAGTAATTTATGTTAAAATAAATATATCTAATTTTCTTTGTAATTAAAATGAATAAGTGTTTTCCACTGAAAACAGTTCAAAATGCACACTTGTTACATTAATTAGACAATGTATGGTACTCACTATGTGACCTCATACATTGTATGATCATAATGTTGTCACAGTTTTGGGTCTAAAAATGAAGGTTCTGGAGTGAAAACAGAAATACATTCAATAGTGGAATTCAAACATTGTTGGTTTCTGATGAAATTCTTACTTGGCAAGTGGGCAATATTGATTGTATACTGCTTAACGTCCCTCTCAAGAATTTTTCACTCATATGGAGACGCCACCACTTGCCACTCATATGGAGACGACACCACTTGCCATTAGAGAGCTGCAAATTTTGTCCTATACTTGGCACTCAGGGCCATTGAGCAGGAAGGGATCTTTTTGTGCCAGCACCTACTGCGACATGTGACCTTTGTTTATACAGTCTCATCCGAAGGACCGGTCTCAAAGTCCCACAGTGGGATTCTAACCTGCGACGTAAGGATCAACTCCTTACTTCGCGACTCTAGAGCAGACGCTCTAACCACTGTGCCACGTGGGCGACATGGCAAATGGGGAAATAACATCCTTAAGAGTTGGTTACCCACAGACAAAATTACTAGATTCGAGAGTAGGCAAGTGGTTATTTACAACCCCTCAGAAATTTCTTTAAAAAAAATTACCATCTTCATCATCTTCATCTAGCACCACCACCGAGTCATCTCATTCTGTGTGAAATAGACGAGGTAATGTTAATTCCAACAAGGTCACCTCTAATAAGGTTTGATAATATAATAATTATTATAAAATGTGATGTTCAAATACAATGGTTGTGATGATATCAGATTCTGTTCTGAACTTAGATTCCTATGCATGCCTTTGACATTGATCACTGTAAAAAACCTTATCATTAATAATAGAGAGTTTTCAATACTTATTAAAATGTAATTAAGTGGACCTTTCTGACACATGTTTACTTCACTTACTTGTCTTTGGAGACAGCGGGTTATCGAAGTCTGTAAGAAGCATCTTCCCTCCATGGCGTCCTGTCTCAGTGATCCTCGCGTGACTGTGTTTGTGGGGGACGGAATCAAGTACATGAAGGAACACAAGGGACAGTTTGATGTCATCATCACTGATGCTCCAGATCCCATTGGTAGGTCACAAAATGATAAAATTCTCATTGTAATGTATGAAAGTCATAAATATTACAAACCCTCATATATAATGTATTTATAAAAAAAAAAACACACAGAATTTATAATTCATTTCATGTTTTAATAAAAAAAAAAAGTGTCAGTCATGCTGAAATTTTACAAATCTTGGACATGCAATACTGACTAGAATTTAATACACTGTCTAAGCTATTTAAAAACACAAGTAGATGTACATCATGTACAATGTGCTATATTGCTTATAATATTTTGTTATCATATACACTGTTAAGCCAGATAGTTTTTTCCTGTCAGCAACAGATTTCTTTTCCTCACAGGAAGATTTTACTTGCTAAGAGCCTACATGATTTATGATTAGATTAAAGGTCAAAATCATTTGTAAACAATTTGTAGATTGATATTTGATTTGCAAGTAGTTTAATATTATTGGAATATCTTTAAAAAGTTAGCATGGCAATTCAGACTTTTTGCACTTTGCTTCAGAGTCCTGGAGTGTTCCTCATTATACTCCCGCTCTGAAAGAGAGGGAGGGTATACTGTTTTACCCTTGTGTGTCTGTCTGTCTAGCTGTCTTTCTGTCCGTCCATAACAAATTTTAATCGCAGTCTTCTCAGCAACTACTCATCGCAAATGCTTGAAATTTTAACACAATCTTCTCTTAGGCATGCCATACGGTGGGATACATTTTTGGTCTAATCCAATGTCAACTTCCTGTTTGTTTATGCATCTGTCCGTTTCATGCATAACAAATTTTTCATTGCAGTTTTCTTATCAACTAATCATAGCAGATGCTTGAAATTTTGTTGAGGCATGCCATATGGTGGGATTTATTTTTATAGGAATCTGATGTCAACTTTCTGTTTGTCTGTGTATCTGTCCATAATGGAACTTTTGTTTATTAACATGATAGTGTTTATTCGCATCAGAGCGGGGGTATTCCTAGTGAGCATTGGCTCACAGATTTCTTGTTTTTAATGCCTATCGGAGATGATAAAATTTAGAATCTGAAAAATGAAAATGCCTTAAAGCTATCTACCGGTATGTCCCTTCCCATGAAAATAAGAAGGCATTACTCTTATTTAAACCTGATGTACAACTGTCTGCATTGTTCCTTTGATTTTGAAAACCATCTGGATTGGGAAGATCGTTGCTTTTGCCTAATATGGGTCAGGTTTTTTTTAGATGATATATTTTTAAAAAATGCCATTTCAGGTGCAGCAGCAGGGCTGTATGAGGAGTCATATTATGCTAGTATGAAGGCAGCTCTACGTACAAATGGAATCATCTGCTGTCAAGGTTAGACCTAGTCACAAGTCTGTAGTGTTTAACTTAAGTTGTCAAAATTGCAAAATGTGCACTTTAGAATAACTCTTAAAGTATTTAAAAAGCATGAAGGGAAGAAGCAGCATCTAAACTAGCATTTGTTAAAGCATATACAGATGGATCAGTGTGCAGCTTTGGTTTTATTTATCTGGCATTAGAAATATATTGTAATCTGTGACTGGTGATTATAAAAGCATTCATAGATACAACTTATGAGCATGAAGCAAGACTCAATTCATGTATAATATACAAGGAAGTGGAATAAATGTAGTTACCTACAAAATTAAATCCCTACCAACTAATAATATTTGGGATATCCAAAAACATTGACAACCACCGGCTTGTTCATCCTTTACATAAAGGCTGAGAATGCAAAATTATTTCTCAAACAGTTTTATGTCCTTCCCTTGAACTGTGGTATTGTGTTCATTAATTAGGATAGATGTTACTCAAATTAAGCCATATGAAATACCTGGTAACTATTTTTGGTAAATTGTCTTCTCAGGTGAGAATCTGTACCTTGATCTACCACTGATTAAGAAGCTGATGGGAATCTGTAGACAGACTTTCCAGGTTGTGGGGTATGCCTACACACTGATTCCCACCTACACCGGCGGCCATATTGGATTTGTCCTCTCCAGCACCAGTCCGGTTAGACAAATTCTCTTCACACTTTGAATGAGAAATCATATTTATAGAATCAGACAGGTTTCATATTTGAGAAAAAAAAGCACTTTATCTGGTAAAGTTCAATGTCATGTCCTTATTAAAGGTCGTGCTTCAAGGTCAAACAAGTTTTTTCATCACTATCTTCATGTTTTTTTTTCTGAACAACTTGACTGATGTTTTAATAACCTTTGATTACTTTGATTTAAGGATGTTAAATTTAATGAACCAAGAAGGATTTACAGTGAGAGTGAGATCAAGAAGATGAAAATGAAGTATTACAACTCAGAAATTCATAAGGCATCATTTGTGATTCCACAATTTGCCAAGGAGGTGAGATGTTTAAATATATAAAGTTGCATTTAAAATGTAAATTTCTGTGTTTCATATTTCAATTGTTTGATGAAAAATTATTTCATATAAAAGCAGACTGAGATGAAATTATGGATATGTAAAATTGTAATATGATGAATTTTTCATCAACATTAATAAAACATTAATAAAAGGGAGGTTTGTCATAAGCTTTATGTAGCATATTGGATTGTTGTTATATTCTAAGAAGGCCTTGTGTATATGTTCACCATTTTTTAATTATATTTTTGGATCTAAAATGAAGATAAATTCACACTTCATGATAATTATCTACTCACAAAACCCCCCAAATATAGCAATCTTGTCACTGGCAGTATATGTCTGAGATAGCTTGAGCTATGACTTAATCCTGGACTGTATTTCAGGCCCTGGAACAGGTCTCCAATGGAGTTTCCGACACTTGATCAGCTGTTTTAACCTGAGTTGCCACTGCACTGATTACTGCATAATCTGAATGACCTTCTTGCACTCTTCCTGCACTCCAGTAACAATGTGTGTAGACAGATGAATTTCAATATACAGCAGTGACGATCAAGAGTTCAGTCCCTTGGCCAGTTTCTATGAATATTTAGTCTTTTTTTTTTTTTTTTTAACCTGATGGACAGTTTTAAAATAGATTTTATGTTAGTATACAGTTTGAATAAATACTCAGTCTATGTAAAAAGTATGGGCATTTTTATAATAGCAGTATTTTATCATGTCGATGATAAATTTTAAAACTTTATAAAATGCTAACAAAAACTGAACTTATTACAAGTTAAGCAATGGTATACATATGATAGTTTCAATTCAAATGAATTAAAATAATTGAAAATATATCTTCTAAATGAAGCTTAATAACTTCTATTTAGATGTGTTGGCTTTAACAAATATCACCCATGAATTGCTTTATTAATTTATTGTTTGTTTATATTGATATACATACATGTATAGTAAAAAAATACAACTGGTATCTCTGTACCTTGGCTTTCACTGTAGTCTTGCATTAATCATTAGCATATGAATTAGCATAGAGTATTATGTTCCATTCATATTTGTATTTCACACTGCCTGGAAATAGATAGACTTCAAACACCACACTTGTACAATTGTCCTCTGCATTGCTTTGTTGTTGTTGTTCATGTTTACTCAAAAGTTACAATGAGAAAAAAACAACTTTAATCCAGTATACAAACATTTCGAGATTCCAAATAGAATTACATATGCTCTAGAGCCAGCTACATTACAATGGGACATATTCTAACTGATTCTAACTGTGGTGAGGGCTTGTTTTGAGACACAGTTAGATTATTCTCTCTAGTGGTGTGCTTTGCATATATTTTACTTAACCTCTGCATCATTTATTGTAATTAATGCTCTGTTTCAATTTTCTGCTGTAGGAAAAGAGTGTTTTTTTTTTAATACAAAAACTATATTTATACATGCACAACAGCATCAAGCAATGGATGATATTTTTTAAAAGATAAAAAAATGTATTACCATAGTTGTTTTGTAATATTGATGTTCTTTAATCGGTACAGATACTTCATGATACTTTCAGTTCACAAAATAGGGCTACCATGTAGAACAATGCAAGTATCATTTATTTGTTAATACATGTATAACATTCCTAAATTTTATGTTATGCTTTAAATACAAAGTTCTTTCTGAAAACGCTATTGTTAATGATTCTCCATTATTTTTGAGATATGACTATTGTCCTTCTTATTTTATGTACCTGGTACAATTATATAGACCTTGAAAGTTGTTTTAGATAAATATACATATATGTATCATTTTGACTGTTATAAGATTGATAACAAATCAGTTGTTTATTATTTCCATACGAGTTAGTTTAAATAGATTTGAATATACATTCATGTTATCACATTTTTTCTATAGCTTCCTATGTCAGCCTGTTATAAGTCAACCCCATGTTATTTTTTATTAACCAGAAGTTAACTGAGAAGTGCTCTTGGATGCAGTGTTGAAAATGAAAATCATATTTTATATCATGTTATGATTTTTATGTTATCTGCAAAAAAAAAAACAAAAAAAAAAGATTTAAAAATAGTGTAAAAGAATATTTTTTTGGCAGAATTTAATATATGTTCAATGTATTGGGGGGAAAATGGAACTATGAATGCACAATTCCAATATTCATTCAAAAAGTATCTCTAAAAAGTATTTATTTTATTATAAATTAAAGAAGTAGGTCAAAGGCAAAAAAAAAAAAAAATGAAAAAAAAATCATGCCAGTATATTGCTGAACTTAAGTTGCTTTTTTTTCTCAAGAATTACTGCAGCACAATGCGAATAGATGTTGTATGTTTTGCTGGAGAATATTTCAAAAATCTACTGTTAGAGTTAATTTTCCTAATTTTTATCAGTAATAATTGTTTTATCTCATTGGACTTACATCAACACTGACCCTCAAACATTGACAAGGGCATTGCTCATCGTGTTTATAAATATTGCCGATATATATCTATATATTCATTGTGTTCATTTAAAAAAATATTTGAAGGGAGCAGCATGGTCTCTATTTTTTTTCAAATTGATGGTTGGGAGGGGATACTTTTCGCTTAATATGCTAATGATAAAACCTAAGAAAAATTCTAGATAAAAAATTATGTTTGTTTTGACAGTTACAGTATATAGGAAGACCTAAACATCAGTGTGTTTGAAAATTAATCTTTTCTGAATACATATCTTTCAAAATTATCCTAATGAAGAAGCAGTTGCTTTTTTTGTAAATTTTTCACTTTAATTTGCAGTTTATGGAGAAAATATGCTTAAATTACACTACAAAGTGCAGAATGATTATTCACTCTGTGTATTGAAATCTAGTTTGGTTGTTGTGCAATATATATCTTCTATGGCAACTTAGTATACAATCCAGTGACCTTGTGATAGTCATACTAATTTTTACTAGTGCTATCTTTAGAATTTTTCTGATTGTTTGCTCACCATCCATTTACTTGCCTGTTAGATCTAGTTCCTTTCAGGTAGTGGACACTATTTTTGTTAGTGATTGATAATATATTGTGAGTCTATTGATTGTAAATCTTATCCTCTGTTAGATTACGTTTGGTCTATGAATTTTATTGATGCAATAAATATGCTATAATGTGTATTTTAGTTATTATTTGAAAGAGGGTTTGAACAAATAGTTGATTGTGGAATATATAGGTGTATATATTTTACCGGTAGCAGGATTCTTTTTTTAAGGTATTGCTTGGGTAAAGTCTTCTTGAAATCTGACTAAATATCTAATTAAGAGAAAACTACAAAGAAGTTTTATTTTTAGTAGCTTTAAAGCCATATATGGTGTATCTGAGTCAAAAAATAAAAATACAAGATAAATTATAGATTTACCAGATATTTGTTACATACCTCCGAATTAAAATTTTCACCGATTTTGAACTTAAATATCACCACAAGTCTTTAGTTAAATTGATTTTCAACTGTGTCTGATATTTTTATCCGAGTCGGAAATAAATCGGTTACTGTTTTAAGTCTGTGATATCTATGAAACGCGATTGATTTAAATTGTGTAATTTACAGGAAAGTCCTATCTTTATATAAAGTAACAAAACAAATAAAAAGATCTTTTAAATCTTAGTTTGTATGAACTTACAAAAAATACGCCATATATGACTTTAAAAAATTTCATATATTTGCAGTATTAATGGAACATGGGACCAGAAATTGACATTAAAGCAACTTATGTGTCCCTGTAAATGCAGTTCATGTTCAACTCCAGATGCATACATTTTAGCTTGAGAAATGTCCACCAAACATTTACAACTACTCTTAAGTCGACATCAAAAAGCTTCTTGAGCTTCTGATTGACAATATCTATGTTGTTTTTGGAGACCAGGTCTTCCAACAATCTATTGGAATTCCCAAGATTACGAATTGCACCCCATTATTAGCAGGCCTATTTTTGTATTCCTAAAAAGCAGAATTTGTGCACAATCTTATGCCTGAAAAGAAGAAAAGACTTGCTGTGGCCTTCAACTCGACATTTAAATATATTTAAGATGTACATGTATTGCCAATTTTAACAATTGTAATTTCCAATCTTATGTCGATCCCGCCGAAATATGCCCGAAAAATGGCCGACTCGGCGTTCAACAATATACAATCAATCAATATGTCGATACGATATATCCTGGTGAACTTGAGATATAAGATACAACAGTCTGACACATCTGTTTCATATTTGGATATTTTACTTGAAAAAGACGTTCATGGTAATCTAACAACCAATCTCTATGATAAACGTGATGACTTTAACTTTTCTATCGTCAACTTCCCTTACTTATGCAGCAATATACCTCATCATCTGCATACGGAGTTTATGTATTTCATTTGATTCGATTCGCAAAAGCATGCTCTATGTATGAACAATTTCTAAAACGAGGTAAATTTTTGAGAAACAAGTTGATGAAACAAGAACATTAGCAGTCTCCTTTAAAGTTATCATTTTGTAAGTTCTATGGTCGAAACAATGACCTTGTCAGTAAATACAATTTATCATTGAGTCAAATGCTGACTGACGTTTTTCATACTTATTGTTAGTCCATTACTTATACACTGAATTGACGACAGATTTTTTTGTTATTTCCCGATCATGACAAAGAGGACACGGTGGGTGTGACCGGTTGGTAAGGAAAGCTCATCTGATCCCACCTCTGATGTTTTGGAGATCCGTGTTTGCTCTGCTCCTATTTTATATTGTGTTATGGACTTTTGATCCTGAATACTGTTCGTAATCTCCGTATGTTTCATCAAAGGAAATCCAAACCTAGGATTCCATCTGAGACTCATACTTTTCTAGCCGAACAGAAACATTACTTTGTCCTTTCACGTTGTTCTGTGATACAGTTTCTAACAGAATATTAATCGACTTTGTCAATTTCTCAACTTACAGAAATAGTTAACGTTGTCCCAATATAATCCAGTAGATTACGAGGTTAAAATGAGCATTTATGAAGAAGCCTAAATCTAGACTTGCTGTTGCATGTTTTACTGTAGCTGTGATAGACTAGACTGTATCATTTTTCTCTTGTGATCTTTCCGCATTTTCATTAGTCTTCACCTTGAGTCTGATTCTGAGTTATCTCTGATTTCATGTCCACGTTTTCCACAATGATGACACTTATAAGGAATAACAACTAACTGGTTTTCTGAGTCTATTCTTGACAGTTTCTCAATTTTGCTCTCTAATTTTATAAGAGATATGTGTAACTAATTCCAAGCTTCTCAAGTTCTTTTCTAACTCCAATGTCACCATCTACTTGAAAAGTTCTTACAAACCTAATGTCATGTCTTTGTTGTCTTTCTGCTCTGCAAAATGCTTCAATTTCGACTTCTGGTCGTACCGCATCATCAAGTGACTTTGGTCGAGATTATTGAACACGGAGTCGCAAGTCAAAGTCTCCAAATGCACCAACAAACTAGTCTTTGGTGATTACTTCTGTTACTTCACGGGGTACTATTGACGAAGATATTCACCTAAATCTGTTAAGTCCCTGTCAGTTTCTGACTTTTTATACCCCCGCTCCGAAGGAGAAGGGGGAATACTGTTTTACCGTTGTGTGTCTGTCCGTCCGTCTAGCTGTCCGTCTGTCAGCTGTCCGTAACAAATTTTTCGTCGCAGTTTTCTCAGCACCTACTCATCGCAGATGCTTTAAATTTTAACACAATCTTCTCTGAGGCATGTCATATAGTGGGATTCATTTCTGTTCAAATCTGATGTCAACTTCCTCTTTGTCCGTGCGTCTGTCCGTTTCATAATGTTATATGCAAAACAAATTTTCGTCGCAGTTTTCTCAGCAACTATTCTAGATGCTTGAAATTTTAACGAAATCTTCTCTGAGGCATGCAATATGGAGGGATTAATTTTTGTTCAAATCTAATGTCAACTTCCTGTTTGTCCGTGCGTCTGTACCATGTGTACGTTCAGACTGTTTTACACATAACAAATTTTCGTCTGTTTTCAAAGCAAATACTCATCGCAGATGCTTGAAATTTTAATACAATCTTCTTGGAGGCATACCATATAATGGGATTTATTCTTGTTTAAATCCGATGTCAACTTCCTGTTTGTCCGTGCGTCTGTCTATTTCATACATGTTTCATACATTTTTTTCACAGTTTTCTCTGCAACTACTCATCGCAGATGCTTGACATTTTAGCACAATCTTTCGTAAGTCATGCTATATGGTGGATTAATTTTTGTTTAAATCTGATGTCAACTTCCTGTTTGTCATTTTCGGTGCAGTTTTCTCTGCAACTACTCGTAACAGATGCTTGAAATTTTATTACATACTTTGTTGAGGCATATAGTATGGTGGGAATTATGAATCTGATGTCAATTTCCTATTCAACCGTAGATATGTAAAGTTAGCTACTAGTAACTGGCTACTAGTAGCTGGCTACGACAAGTGGTAAAGTTAGCTACTAAGTAGCTGGCTACGAGAAGTAAGTAAATTTGGATACTAGTAACTGGCTACTAGTAGCTGGCTACGAGAAGTATGTAAAGTTGGCTACTAGTAACTGGCTACTAGTAGCTGGCTACGACAAGTATGTAAAGTTGGCTACTAGTAACTGGCTACTAGTAAATGACTTGAACCTTATAAAAATAACCGTCTAGTATCTTTTGTGTTAAATTATGCAAACTTGGGATACAAATGTTGATATTTTTGAAGTAGCTGGAATTTTACACCGCTGATATCAACTGATAGTGCTGAAAAAAACAATCTCTGAGCTTTTCAACATAATCTGGCACTGAAGTTACCAAGATATCGGTAGTAATAAACTCGGCTACTGGTACCTTTTGTCTAGAATTATGCAATTTGGGAGACAAATGTTATATTTTTGAAGTAGCTGGTTTGTTACCTCGCTGATATCAACTGATATTGCTGATAAAAATAATCTCTAAGATATTCCACATGATCTGGCAGTAAAGTTACCAAGATATCGTTAGTAATGAACTCAGCTACTGGTACCTTTTGTTTCAAATTATGCTATTTTTGGAGACAAATGTTGATATTTTTAAAGTAGCTGGTTTGTTACCTCGCTGATATCAACTGATGTTGCTGATAAAAATAATCTCTAAGATATTCCACATGATCATGCAGTAAAGTTAGCAAGATATCGTTATTAATGAACTCAGCTACTGGTACCTTTTGTTTCAAATTATGCTATTTTTGGAGACAAATGTTGATATTTTTGAAGTAGCTGGTTTGTTACCTCGCTGATATCAACTGATGTTGCTGATAAAAAAAATCTCTAAGATATTCCACATGATCATGCAGTAAAGTTAGCAAGATATCGTTAGTAATGAACTCAGCTACTGGTACCTTTTGTTTCAAATTATGCTATGTTTGGAGACAAATGTTGATATTTTTGAAGTAGCTGGTTTGTTACCTCGCTGATATCAACTGATATTGCTGATAAAAATAATCTCTAAGATATTCCACATGATCATGCAGTAAAGTTAGCAAGATATCGTTAGTAATGAACTCAGCTACTGGTACCTTTTGTTTCAAATTATGCTATTTTTGGAGACAAATGTTGATATTTTTGAAGTAGCTGGTTTGTTACCTCGCTGATATCAACTGATATTGCTGATAAAAATAATCGCTAAGATATCCACTTGATCATGTAGTAAAGTTACCAAGATACCGTTAGTAATGAACTCAGCTACTGGTACCTTTTGTTTCAAATTTATGCTATTTTTGGAGACAAATGTTGATATTTTTGAAGTAGCTGGTTTGTTACCTCGCTGATATCAACTGATGTTGCTGATAAAAATAAGTTCTAATATATCCCACATGATCTGGCAGTAAAGTTACCAAGATATCGTTAGTAATGAACTCAGCTACTGGTACCTTTCGTTTCAAATTATGCTCTTTTTTGGAGACAAATGTTGATATGTTTAAAGTAGCTGGTTTGTTACCTCGCTGATATCAACTGATATTGCTGATAAAAATAATGTCTAGGATATTCGACATGATCTGGCAGTAAGGTTACCCACATATATTATTAGTAATGAACTCAGCTACTGGTACCTTTTGTTTCAAATTATGCTATTTTTGGAGACAAATGATATTTTTGAAGT